AAAAGATGATTCTGATGAAGAAAAAGACAAAAGTATTTGCAACAAAGAATGCCAGTATTTATGAAAACATAGTGTTTTCTGAATAAATTCTTAATATTAAAAAAATTTATTATCTTTATGTTTTGTCTACATGTATGCATACACACATGTGTGCCTGGTGCCTGAAGAGGTCAGAAGAGGGGATTGGATCCTTTGGAACTGGAGTTAGGGATGGCTGTACTGGGAACCCATGTCTTCTGCAAAAGCAGCAACTGCTCTTACCTACTGAGCTGTCTCCCATGTCTGGTTGTTTTGTTGTTCTTCTTTTGACTTTTCAATGCAGGGTTTCTTTGTCTAACAGCCCTGGCTGTCCTGGAACTCACTCTGTAGAACAGGCTGGCCTCTAACTCACAAAGATCCACCTGCCTCTGCTTCCCAAATGCTGGACCAATTCTTAATTTTTAAAAGGGCTAATTTTAGGGCTGGAGAAATGGCTCAGAAGTTTGAGTGTACTGGCTGCTCTTCCAGGGTTCTGAGTTCAATTCCCAGCAACCACATGGTGGTGCAAAACCATCTATAAGGAAATACAGTGCCCTCTTCTGGTGTGTAGGCATACATGCAGGCAGAACACTATGTACATAGTGAATAAGCCTTTAAGAAAAAAAAGAAAGCTAATTTTCATTATGTGCACATGAGTGTAGGTATCCTCCAAGGCCAGAGGCACTGGATCCACTGGTCTGTAATTACAGGCAGTTTGTGAGCTGCCGGACATAGGTACTGAGAATTAAACTCAGGTCCTCTGTAAAGACAGTCTGTGTTCTTAATCACTGAGCCATCTCCTGTCCTGAGACTATAATACTCAGTTTTTGGATGGGGCCTAGAGGGATGTTATCAGCCACTGAGTGCACCTGCTGTAGCCAGGGGGTGGTGGCACATGCCTCTAACCAGTTGGGAAGCAGAGTGAGTTTCAGGATAGTCAGGGCTACACAAAGAAACCCTGTCTCAGACTCCCCTACCTCACTCCTACAACAAACCAAAACACCCAAAACAAAAAACATTTCTTGCTCTTCTAGAAGACCTGAGTTTAGTTCCCAGGACCCAGTGGTGGCTCACAACTTCTGAGATTCCAGCTCCAGGGTACCAGCACACAAGTGGTAAACAGACAGACATACGTGCAGGCAAAATACTCATATACACAAAATTAAAATGTTAAGGAATAAGATTAAAACAAATTATATGTGTGTATGTGTGTGTACACATGGGTACAGGTGGCTGAGGAGCCCAGAAGAGGGCACAAGACAGTTGTAAGCAGCCACATGGGTGTTGGGAAACAAACCTGGGTCCTCTGGAAGAACAGCAGTGCTCTTAATCCGAGTTACCTCTCAAACTCCCAACTCCACCCCACTTTTTTTTTTTTTTTTTTTAGATAGCATTTTTTGTTTCCTACTAGGTAGATTCTGGAGACAGACTTGGCAGCAAGTGGTTTTACCTGCTGAGCCATCTTGCCAGTTCCTATACTATCTTTAAAATAAAACTTTCAAACTTGGCATTTAAAAAATATTGGAATACACCTTTAATCCCAGAATTTGGGAGGCAGAGTCATATAGATCTCTGAGAGTTTGAGGCCAGCTTGGTATACAAAGTGAGTTCCAGGACAGCCAAGGATACACAGAGAAACTCTGTTATGAAAAAAAATAAAACAGGGGGTGGGAGAGATAGCACAATGGTTAAGAGCACTGGCTGCTCTTCCAGAGGTCCTGAGTTCAATTCCCAGCAACCACATGGTGGCTCACAATCATCTGTAATGGGATCCAATGCACTTTTCTGGTGTGTCTGAAGAGAGCAATAATATACTCATATACATAAAATAAATAAATCTTAAAAAAAGAAAAAAAACAAAAACAAAAAAATATTGGCCACATGCCTTTATTCCCATTGCTTAGAAAGCAGAGGCAGGCAAATCTCTGAGTTCAGGACAAATCTAGTCTAGACAGAAGGCCCCAGGCCAACCAGAGCCACATAGTGAGACCTAGACTTTAAAAAAGTAAATATTGTTTAAAAAATTCTGTCACACACACACACACACACGCACTCCATTTACTATCTTAACCATATTTAAGTGTACAGGAGAGGTCTTTGTTGGGTTTCCTGTTTTAGAGACAGGATTGCCTTGTCTCTGCTCAAGGCACACCCAGCTCTAGTACACACAATGTCCTGCAACCAAACACCAGCCATCCCTTTTGTTTTACAAACCCGAAACCTCTATGTTCATTTAATAATTCCTTACCCACAGTTCTATACTAGTACATGCAGCACTTATCTTTTTGTGACTGGCTTATTTCACTTAGTTTATTCCTGTTGTATGGAATCAGTTTATTCCTGTTGTATGGAATCAGAATCTTCTTGTGGTTGCTTACATTGTGTGCCAGCATGCTGTTTTGTCACTCACTGACATTTGGGCTGCTTGGACCTTTGGCTGATGTTACTGTGAACACAGGCTACAAGAGATCCAGCTTTTAGTTCCTGCAGATGTGTATACAGAGGTGGAATTACTGGCTCACAGGGCTAATTTAAAGTTTCCTATCTTTCTCACTATCAGGTGCCAAAACACATAGGCTTAGTCTGCCTCTGACTAATCCAGAACTGTAAACATCCGTAAGAGCTAAAGTCCAGACAGTTTTTTTCTACTAAGCTGACAGTCACAAACCTTTGCAAGCAATTTCATAAAATAAAAATTTATTTCTAAGCTGTCAAGTTCCCACCAACAGTATGTAAGGCTCCAATTTATAAGTGACATTCATTTTAATAGTAGTGATCCTACTAGGTGTGCGGTAGTATCTGGGCGATTCTGTTTTGAATTAAAGCTTTGGTTCACAGCAAGATTGAGAAAATACAGTGATTTCCCATGTATGAAAAATCAGCTCTTACACAAAACAGCCTCGCCCTCAGCAGAAGGCTTATGCAAGCACACCATCCCAAAAGCCCTCGATTTCTTTATGGTTTACTCTTTCACAGTTTACCAGTTTGAAAAAATGGCTCATGACCTGTACTCACAGGCAAAATGATTATCATCCAGAATGTTCTCGTGAGCCTAAAAGACTGTTGTTCTCCTGCCATATGAACCTCTTCTAGAATTTTAGGTTGTGTGTAAGACTTTTGCCTGCATGTATATTGGTGTCCCATGTGTGCCTGCAGAGGCTAGAAGGTTATCGGATCCCCTGGGACAGGACTTAGAAGGTTTTGAGCTGACACGTGGGTGATAGAACCAAACTCAGGTCCTCAGTAAGAGCAGCAAGTGTTCTTATTTGCTGAGCCAGCTCTGCTGTTGGCCACCTCAGATTTAACTGCAGCCCAGGAACGCAGTGCTCTACCACTGAGCCACACTGCCAAGCTCTAACTTACCTCTAGTTTTTTTCATTTTGTTCTTTCTTTTGGTTGTTCAAGACAAGGTTGCTATATATAATCCTGGATGGCCTCCAACTCAAGAGATCCGCCTGCCTCTGCCTTCTGAGTTTGAAGACTAAAGGTGTGCATCCACTTTTTGAGGATACCAGTATCCTACAGTTGTAATCAAGAACATAACCCTTTCAGATTGGCCTTTCATTCAGTAATGCCCTCTACATCTTTTGTGATTCATTTCTTCTTGTAGTAGGTATTCCATCATCTGATGTAACATTTATCCTTGCATTTACTGAAGGACACCTTCATTGCTTCCAAGTTTTGGCAATTATAAACAGGCTCCTAGGGAAACGCACAAGCTGCTTTTGGTATGAGCATATTTCTAATTCCCCTGGGGAATTATAAAGGGACAAGATTACCAAAAGACGGTGAATGTTTCATTTAAATACACATCAACTGTCTCCCCAAGTGGCTGTGCCACTGTTTGTCCCCATTCATGATGCACGTCCTTGCCACTCCTCATCCCATCTGCATTGCTGTGTGGCCCCTCTAGTCACGGCAGCATGCTCAGTGCAGTCTGCACCCCACTTGCCATGCTACAGAGGACATCTCATACACACATTTGCCATTTCTGTGTCTTTTTCTTTCTTTAGACAGGGTCTCACTATGTATCCCTGGAACTTCCTATGTGCTCCAGGCTGTCTCTGCCTCTAGAGTGCACCACTACACAGGGCTTTGAGATGTCTTTTAGTCAAGTCGTTTGTCTCGTTTTACGTGTTTTATTACATGTATTCATTTATTGTGTGCACTCCTTTGTGGGTTAGAGGGCAGCATCCAGGAATCAGTTGTCTACTTCCACTGTAGGGTCTCAGGGGTTAACCGCATGCATCAGGCACTGCAGAAGCGGTTGTGTGCTCTTTATGTATAGCTGCCCATGGTTAGTATTTTTCCAATGCTTGTTGGCCTATGGTGTTCAATCATACAAATACTATTTTCAAGACATTCTAAAACCAAACTTGATATCTTTTAAAAGCTGTCTCTGCACTCAGGAAAAACCCTCTCCTGTATCAACTTCAGAAGGCAGGTGGCTGTGCTCACACCTTCAAAGGCAAGCCTCTCTTCTAGAGCAGCTAGCTGCCAGACTAGAAAGGGGGACCTGGGCAGTGACAGAGACAGCAGCCTGGTTATCAGAGGAAAACGACAAGCTCGCCCCCTGGTGACAAGGAGAGAAACAACAGAAGGGAAAAAATTCTTAAAAAGGCACATACACACAAAGACAAAGACAAAGACAAAAAAAAAAAAAAAAAAAAAAAAAAAAAAACCCCAGCCACCATGAACACATTCCATCCTGCCAGGATCTGGAGAACAGCAGCATAAATAACAGATGGAAAAACAACTGAAACACTTCATTCATCTGGACAGTTTAACAGACTCAGTCCTGGCTGGCACAGTGGTGCATGCCTGTAACCCTAGCACCAGTGGGGCTGGGGCAGCAGCAGGGCTAGGAGTTTAGGGCCAACAGAAAGCAGCACAAGGGCCTTTTTTGTTGTTGTTGTTGTTTTTTAAAGAAAGCAAAAAGAAAAAGGCTCTACTGAGTGGACAACTTCCTGTCATCGTGTCCCAAATTCCTAGCTGGAGCTACTTCCAGAGCCATGTCTTCCCACGAGGAGCAGAGCCAGCGGAGAGGCTAGTTTTTAACTGCCAGAGATTTGTCTAGAGGAGGGGAGGCTTAGGTTTTGTCTCCTTTGGCAACAGCAAGGCTAATATAACCACCTCAACTTTCTTCAGCACAGGCTCCTGATCCCTATAAATCTGCTGAAAGGTCTGCCTGGATCGGCAAGGAGCCCACACCAAGGTTGGGTTATGTAAGGCAGAGGGCGGCAGTCGTGACTGCCTGGCTGTTCTAAGACCTCTGTTATGCAAATTAGGATACTTTCTAATTTTCAAGCTCTTCTGACTAAAATGATGATGGCTGATTCTTTCAGGCCCGAGGCTGCTAAGCTTCCCAATTTCTGTCTCCCCAACCCCCAAAAGCCTACGGCTCTGCAGTTTACTCCAATTTTTCACAGGTCCAGTTTAGAAATTAAGACATCCCCACACCCCCATAAATGTAGGTATCTTCACAGAGTACACACAAAAGATTATTTACTAAAATACTTCTAGCCATTCTCAGCAGGTGACACTCTGGAGCAGATGGCACTGAGTGACCTCTGGGATGGGAGAAGAGCTGCCAGGGTGAAGCCATCTGTTGTGGAAGGGGTGGGGCCACACATTACCCAAACGTTATAGGTTGGACGTTTTTCTGCTGTTCTTTGTGCAGCTGCCGGGCCCTATTTTTCAGCATTTCGGCCTTAGCCTCGTCCTTATCAACGCCATCCCCCAGTTTGTACATGCGGCTGGCATTGGCGCAGGCCCAGACATGGCCCAGGTCACAGGCCTTCATTGAATATTTACACGCCAGACCCATATCCTTAGGAAAGCCAGGGGCACCCTGTAGAAACATGGCACTGAGGTTGAAGCAGCTGGCTGCATAACCGCCATCACAGGCTCTGCTGTAGTAGTCCCTGGCCTTCCCCAGGTCAGGGTGGCCATCTTCATTGACCTGTCCATCATGTGCCAATAGTCCAACGTTGTGACAGGCTTCCACAGACTTCTTTCCTGGTTTCTCACAGGCCATCAGAAAGCAGGAAGAGGCAGCCTTTAGGTCCTGAGTCAGGCCACCTGCAAAGACAGAAAACAAAGAAGAAAAAGTAAACTCAAGGGCAGGCCAGAAAACCCAATGGGAGAGCTTTGTTTACCACATCAGAGGGCCTGGGTTCAATCCCCAGTCACCAGGGCTGAACCTTTGTTTCTAGCCAAGGTTGGGAAACAATCCCTGAGTCAAGTCCTATGAGCTTAAGCAACATGGAGAAGGGTAGCCAGTTAGGTAGCCACACACCATCTTACAAGGAAGCCAAGACAGGAAGAGACATGCCAAATCAGAGCACAGAGACTACCTCTTAGGGCTACAGTGAGAATAGAGCATTTTAAAATAAGTAACTGAATGTTTCTTAATCTAAGCTTACAGTTGGCCCTACATATTTATGAGTTCTGCATATGCAGATTCCATTAGTTAAAAACACTATTACAGCATTCAAACCAGACAGCAGCTGCAAATTTAACTAACCATGGACTGAAAATATTCAGGGAAAAAAACATGGCTGTGCTAAAAATGTATGGTCTTTCCCTGTCATTATTCCCAGGACAGTACTCGGTATGACAACTATTTACATTAGTGTTTATTCTCTCTTAGGTAACACAAACTAGAAATGATTTCAAGGGTATGGAAGGATGTGTACATATTTATGTGAATACTCTGTGCACAAGGATCTGGAGAACCTAAGGATTCTGATCCTTCAAAGCTCCAGGAACTAACTTCCCAGGGCAGACTTTAAAAAACAAACAAACAAACAAACAAACAAGTCCTTTGTGTGGTACACGTCTTTAATCTCAGCACTTGAAATGCAGGAGGCAGGGAGATGTCTGTGAGTTCCAAGACACCCAGATCTACATAATAGAGAGAACTTGTCTCAAACAAACAAACAAATAAAAAAACACAACAAAACCCCTAAAAAACTAAAAAAGAAAGAAATGACTCAGGAGCTGGGACTGGTGGCAAACATCTATAATCCTAGCACAAAGAAAGCAGAGGCAGAGAGAAAGTTTGAGATCACCTATGGTACACAAGGCTGTCTTATTACATGTGTCCATGCTAGCCTTGAACTCTCGAGTGCTAGGGTTAGAGAAGTGCCATGGTATCTGACAAGGACTAGAATTCAAGTCCTTTCTCCTTCGTGTGAGCCAAATTTAGTGACTTACTTCCTTTTTTTTTTTTTAAAAGAATTATTTATTTATTTTATGTATATGAATACACTGCAGCTGTCTTCAGATACACCAGAAGAGGGCATCAGGTCCCATTACAGATGGTTGTGAGCCACTATGTGGTTGCTGGGAATTGAATTCAGGACCTCTGGAAGAATAGTCACTGCTCTTAACCACTGTGCCATCTCTCTGGCCTTAGTGACTTACTTCTAATAAACAGAACGTGACAGAAATGAAAAAAAAATATGACTCTCCAACATAGACCATAAGACACTGCTGGGCTGGCAAGACAGCTGTCAGGTAAAGGTACTGGCTAGCAGGCCTGACCTCAGTTCAGTTCCTGGGACCGACATGGTAGAAAGAACTGATTCCTCTAAGTGCTCCTCTGACCTTCACACATTAGCTATGGTACACACATGCCCACACACAGACAGACACATAAAAAAAAAATGCTCATTTAAAAAGGCATTGGATTCTCTTCTCTTTCTCTTTTTAAGAAAGGATCTTTCTAATATATAGTTTTGGCTGTCCTGGAGCTTTCTTATGTAGCTCAGGTGTTAGCCTCAGAAGAGATATACCTGTCTCTGGCTCCAAATGCTGGGACTTCAATATTCTTTCTTTTCCTCTCCTTCCCCTCTTATTTTAGTGAATACAGATGAGTGCCTGCATGTATGTCTTTGTATCGCATACATGCCTGTGGGGCTTCAGATACCAGAGAATTGGAGTTACAGAATGTTGTGACTGCTATGTGGTTACTGGGAATAGAACTCAGCTCTCCTGGAAGAGCGGCCATGTGAACCACTGAGTCAAACATTTTTGGCTTCTCTTTACTGGGGTACCTACTCTGAAAACAGGTCATGAGGAGACATGATCAGGCAGTCCAGGGAGAGATGGAGAGCTCACAGTTGCTGGGATCTCCTGACAACAGCTGACAGGTGCCAAGGCCTTATCATCAGGCCAGTGATCGAGTCAACATCTATATGGCAACTTGAATCAAGTCTTCCAACAACTACAGCAATGTTTCCCTGTCCAGGGTTTTGACCAAGACACCCAGCTAAACCAACCCCAAACTCCTAACCCATAGAGGAGTTAAAACTTAGCATTATTTATGAGATAATGCCAATTAGGGCATGATAAAAAAAATATAGAAGCTAATTACTCAACTCTTACTCTGTGCTCAGCATATTCTGATAGCTTTACTAATATTTCATTTTAAAATTTATTTTATACTAGTAGTTTGTACTGTGAATATGTACGTGCATCACTGTGTGTGCCTGGGGCCTGAGGAGGTCAAAAGTTGAGTCTCCTGGAACTAGAGTTACAAATGGTTGTGAACCTAGATCCTCTGTCAGAACAACAAGTGCTCTTAACTGCTGAGCCATCTCTACAGCCCCCATATTAGTATCTTTACCTGACCTGCCCAAAGTAATTCCATTCTGTTGTAGCTTATCTAATTCCATCCAACCGCTCTCCAGCACACACCCCACCACATCCTGCAGAGCAGACCGTTCTCACGCAGCTTCGGGAGGTCCATTGTTTTACAACAAAACAAACTGTTTTAACAAATTGACCCCCACCCCTACCCCGGCCTCTGGTGTGATATGATTGTGATCTGGACTTTAGCAACCCACCCTACTTCAATTCAGGTGGAGAGTTCTTTCTGGTGTGTGTCTGCTCTCAGCCACTAAAACAAAGAACTCTTTATTTGCCTTGTATTCTTGGTAATCTGTAGTCTACTGAAGAGGGCATTTCATACCTATACTATCCTCTATCATCTACCCACCCATCCACCCATCCATCCACCCATCCACCCATCCATCCACCCATCCACCCATCCATCCATCCATCCACCCATCCATCCACCCAACCATCCATCCATCCACCTATCCATCCATCCGTCCGTCCGTCTGTCCGTCCGTCCATCCATCCATCCACACATCCTCACAACAATCCTATGGAGCAAGAACTATTTCTTTCATTATGTTTTTATTTTGAAATCTGAGACAGGATCTCAATCTGTAATCCAACTAAGTCCAGGCCCTGCTTCTCCCAGTTTACAGATGATAAAACTGGGACACAGTTAAAAATGACTAGCTAAGGCTAGGATGGCCATACCTAATCTGTAATCTCTCACTTAGCAAGCAGAGTCAAGAGGTTCCTGAACATTCCAGGCCAGTTTGGACTACAAAATTAATTCTAGGCCAGTGTCTTAGATAGGGTTTCTGTTTGGTTTTGAACCCTGGGACAAGGGACTGAAGTGCATATTTCACATAACAAAGCAGACCTGGCCTCCAGGTTCTCCCAGAATCCCTCAGTCCCTACCTGGCATATCTTGCCCCCAACTCTGAACTTTCCAGCCCAGAGGGTGGGCTGCCCTAGCCCAAAGGCTCTTCCCCATATAATCCAGACATTTGGCCTCCCCCACCCCCCATTTTCCTTCTCAGTCTCTCTCTACACTTGTGCCCTGTCTCTCTTTTGCTTCCTCTATCACTCATGGCGACTGCCCTAGTCTCAATCCTGGGGGACAGTGACCTCGCCTGAGAGCATTTTCCCTATCAACTTGCATTTAATATAATCTAATCTGGCTTGGATTGGTTCATTTCACTGGTGTAGAAATAACCTATCAGTTTCTATTGCTGTGATGAAACACCATTACTGAAAGCAACTCGGGGAAGGAAAGGTTCATTTGGCTACACTTCCATAGTCCATTACTGAAGGAAGTCAGGACAGGAACTCAAGCAGGACAAAAACCCAGAGGACCACCTGTCCAGGGATGGCACCACCCACAATGGGCTGGACCTTCCTACACCTATACTAATTAAGAAAATGCTCTACCGGCCTGCCTACAGCTTGATCTAATGGAGGAATTTTTTTCAACTGGGGCTCCCTCCTTTTAGATGACTCTAGCCAGCATAGCCAATAAAGCTACCGTAACACTCTGCTCTTAAAAAAAAAAAAATTGAGCTGGACCTAATGGTGCACACCTTTAAATCCAGCATTCAAGAGGCAGATAGAGGTCTGTGAGTTTGAGGACAGCTTGGGCTACATAAAGAGCCCTTGTTATCCTATGATCGCCACATGTAAGACAGAGTACACACCTGCCCCATACCAAAATAAGGAAATGTAATCTAAAAAAAAAATTTTTAAGAAAAAAATAAAATGAACTAGCCAAGGGCCTACAATGTGTAAACAGGAACCCCAAAGGTTGCTTCACTTGAAGGACCACGTTCTCCCAACACCTCTCTGCTGAACCCCTGACTGCACTGTCCAAAACAGTCCCCCATGCCTGTGAAGCCCTGCAGCTCACCTTTTCCAGTCACGTAATAGGCCCCCAGCTTGTAACAGCTGTCAGCATGCCCATATTTCTCACAGTTGAACTTCAGCACCTTTGCGGCTTCATCAAAATTCTTTTGGATTCCTTCCAGATAGTCCACCAGCCGATAGCAACCTAGAGAAGAGGGAAGAGGTAATCATGTCAGCAGCTGCTGCTCAGGAGGCCCAGGACCAAGCAGATCAAGTCTAGCTCTCAAATGTGCCAATCAGACTTAGCACAGAAACGAAGTGTCCGGCCCTTCTTAAAATGGGACATGTCTCCACAATGTACAGATCAGGAAGACTAACCTCAGCAATGGCTCTACCACTACCAGACCATCTGATCCCTGTCAGCCTGGTCTACACACGGCTGACTTCCAATGACTGACACTTTAGTAGCTTTGGAACCTCTCTGCAAGTTCTGTAATAAAAACACTAAAACCTAAAGAGTCTGTGGATGCCTTTTGCAGCAGAAAACCAGAAATGAGATTAACACCTTAATCCCTGGCCTGGGGAAACCTGAAGCCCAAAAAATAGAAGTGGAAGCTACCAAAGCAATGGGAATAGGTTCCCCATATCTGAGATGTCCTGTGCTAGCCAGCCTCTTAGCATTGCCAGCAACATCAAAGAGCATTCTCATTTATTTTCAGTCATCAACTATTTGGAAAAAATATATATACATATGTGTATATATACACATACACATTAGCTCATGTATGAAAATATATGACACACAAACTATTGGAAATATTGTCATCTGCCCTAATATTTATTTATACGCTTAAGCCAGGCATGCAAGTACACGCCTATAGTGCCAGCACTCCCAAGGTGGAGACAAGATAAGGAGTTCAAAGTCCACCTTCAGGACCTTGTGAACGAGTAGCTCAAGTAGGTTAGGAAAGGAGGAACCACAGTAGGGAAGCAGTGTTTTCAAACACTAGGCTATAACTGAAATAAGGCACTGCGATGAGAACGTTTATTGTACGTCTTATGGTTAACACAGTTTGGGCACCAAGGCAGGTCGTCCCACCAAGGACTGTGATAGCTGAGCTGAGACCTGAATATGGAGAAAGCACTAGCTACTTAAGGACTGAGGGGCTGGAGGTGTTGCTTCAAGAACAAGCAAAGTACAAGGCCCTGGGTGGCTCTATCCCTATCAAGGAAGAAAACAGAAAGGGCCCAGAAAATCCCAGAGAAAGAGTGTGTAGACAACCAGGTGGAAGAGGAAATAAGACACAAACGCAGTAGGAGGCTGAGTTAAGGAGGTATGGGGTAGGAAGGCAAGAACCTATAAAACACCTGAAGAAATTAGTGGGGTGTTTTAGTGCTAGGCCTCTCTCCATAATGGGCATGTTACTATAAACTATAAAGCATAGAAGAGTTTTTAGGATTACGCAAGTGGGGCTAGAAGTTTGTATAAATAAGTGGCACAGTCCTTGCCTAGAGTTTGGGAGGTCCTTGGTTCAATCCCAATTCCCACAATACAAAAGAACACATTTATTTATTTATTTATTTATTTATTTATTTATTTATTTGAGACAGGGTCTTATATAACCTAGGTTGGACCAGAACTCACTATGCAGCTAAGGATGTCCCTGATCCTTCTGCCTCTACCTCCTGGAGTGCTATGATCACACACTGTACTGGCTGGTTTTGTGTGTCAACTTGACACAAGCTGGAGTTATCACAGAGAAAGGAGCTTCCCTGAGGAAATGCCTCCATGAGATCCAGCTGTAAAGTATTTTCTCCATTAATGATCAAGGGTGGGAGGCCCCCCTGTGGGTGGTGCCATCCCTGGACTAGTGGTCCTGGGTTTTATAAGAAAGCAAGCTGAGCAAGCCAGGGGAAGCAAGCCAGTAAGTAACATCCCTCCATGGCCTTTGCATCAGCTCCTGCTTCATGACCTGCTTGAGTTCCAGTCCTGACTTCCTGTGGTGATGAACAGCAATGTGGAAATGTAAGCTGAATAAACCCTTTCCTCCCCAACTTGCTTCTTGGTCATGATGTTTTGTGCAAGAATAGAAACCCTAAGACACACACCAAGCAGGTGCAGCCATATGCAGTCTGAGCCAGGAATAGCACTCATGGCCTCATGTACACTAGGTGAGCGCTCTACCAACCGACCTACAACCCCAGGCCTCGGCCAGTCCTCACACGTCTGTCCTCCACTCCCGCTCTGCATCTCCTCCACGTAACTCACATCAACTACCATGAACTCCTCAAGCATGCCTACAGAATCAGGTCTAAATTCCTTGCTTAGAAGGCAGGGTACACTGCAGTCCAGGCTCCCTGTACAAACTTAACTCGGAAACTGGAGCTAGAGCTCGGTGGTAGAAAAAGTGCCCACTACACTCACAAGCCTTGGGTTTGAGCCTCAGGACTGCAAAACAACAAAAATCAATTTGACTCGATTCTGAGCAATCCTGAAGTCAACCTTCCAAAAAGAGCTCTTTGTCCTCCCACCTCTCTCCCCACTGACCACGTAGTCCACCGCTGTGGACTATGCCCAACCATCCTCAGAGACCACAGAGGGTCAATTCCTCTGAAAGTCCTCTTCACCTGGGACATGGACTAGCTCCCAAAGAATAATCCGGGTTCCTCACCCAGAGTCACACTATAGTGGACTAATTTCAAGAAATAGCAAGTCGTTTCTTGGGAACTAGACTGTGAGCTACTGGAAAGGAGGGTCAGAGACATTTTCGTTCTTTTCCTTTAAATAAAACAATAGGAAAACAACCCAAAGACACTGGACGCTTCTCTGGGCATCGATCACCCATACACTCTACCTCCTCACTGCACACAAGAGGCCATTTCTGCTTCTGACTTTTTCATTACCTCTGCCTGGCAAAGACTTACAATGGTTCCTTTCCTCCTTCAAAGCTTTATTCAAAAGCCATGCCATTGGGCAGAGAGCCCTTCACTCAGTTCTTTTATCCTATTACACTTAGCTTAAAAACATTTTTGAGCTGGGCGGTGGTGGAGCACGCCTTTAATCCCAGCGCTTGGGAGGCAGAGGCAGGCGGATTTCTGAGTTCGAGATCAGCCTGGTCTACAGAGTGAGTTCTAGGACAGCCAGGGCTACACAGAGAAACCCTGTCTCGAAAAAAAACAAAAAAAAAAATTTTTTTTTGAATTTTGTGCTGGGTGGTGGTGGAAGGTTCCAGCACTTGGAGACAGAAGCTGGCAGGTATCTGAGTTGCAGGGTAGCCTGGTTGACAGAGGGGAGTTTCAGGACAGCTAGGACTACACAAAGAATCATGCTTCAAAATAAATAAATAAATAAATAAATAAATAAATAAATAAATAAATAAATTTGTTAACAGGCCTGTGGTTCATGCCAAAAACTCAGGAGATAGAGGAAGGCAGTTCTGAGTCCAAGGCCAGGGTAGTCTACACTGCAAATTTTAGGCCTGGCAAGTCTACATAATGACAGTCTCAAAAAAAATTTAATTGTATTATTTTAAATTATGGATACGTGTGTATATGAGCATGTGGTGTGGAGGAAGCAGAGGCCAGAGGCATTGGATCTCCTAGAACTGGAGTTACAGATGCTTGTAAACTGTCCCACGAGGGTGCTGCGTTCTGAACTCCGGTCATCTTGCAAAAGCAGTATGGGCTTCTAACTGCTGGATCACGACTCCAGTCTCCTTCTCCAATTTTTTTTTTTTAGGACCGGGTTTTGCTATGTAGTCCAGGCTGGTCCTTAACTCCTGAATTCTAAGTGATCCTCCTTCCTCAGCCTCCCGGACGCTAGAATTACAGGTGCATGATGTCAAGTCTGACTCGCATTTACTACTATCACATATTTCACTTATTTCCTGCATGTTAACCGACTCCCTCAAAGACAAGTACGCTGAGGTTCCATTTCACCGTCACACCTCCAGTCCTGGCACCACAAACCGGACTACAGAGCATCTAGCCTGAGGGCTCCGCCCTCCGCAGCAGGCCCCGCCCCCGGTGCACTACAACTCCCCGCCCACAGGCGGTAGTGTCCTGACACCGTCCTTAGGCGTCCTCCGCCCTCCACGTGACCACGTTCGCACCCCCACGCTCGTGCCCCTCCTCTATGTCCCAGGCTGCAGGGTTGACGCTCACCCTCCGGGTCCTTCTCGCGGTAGCATTGGTAGTGACACTCCACCTCCATGTTCTCCAGGAAGGACTTCACCTGCTCCTCGTCCTGGAAGTCAACCAAGCCCGCCATGACTCCCACAAATCGCGTTGTGGCTCCGCCCTCAGTCACGTGTGCCATCCCAGGGGCGGGGCATGCCGGCGCCTTGCGTGACGCCAGTGCTCCGCCTGTCAGCGCTCCGCAGTACCTGGGGGGAGGGGAGGAGACAACGACAGCTTCCCAGCAACCTTTGCGGTAGTCGCGTCCTTCCCCAGGCTTTGCTTCATCTCTTTGGACAGCCCTCTCCCAGGTTGTTTCTGCTTCGGTTTATCTGAGGGAATACTGCCCCTTCATGGTTTTCTCTCTGTAGTCGGGACCAGCCAGCCGTTCTGCAGTCCCAGTTCTAAAGCCGACACAGCCGGGAGCTCCGGTCCCTGCCTTCTCAAAGCTTACAGTGTTGGGCTGGAACTCACCAAGTGCTCTATAGCATCGTGAAACAGAGCATGAAATTCATCGGGAAAGCATTCGTTTATTCGGGCAGCAAGCATTTTGAATACCTTGTGTGTCCCACATATGGCCGGAACAACCGAAATAAATAAATATGCAGTTGCCACGGGATACACTTATCTCCGTATTCTTTGTAGACCCATCAAAATCACCAATATTAGCCGGTCGGTGGTGGCCCACGCCTTTAATCCCAGCACTTGGGAGGCAGAGGCAGGTGGATTTCTGAGTTCGAGGCCAGCCTGGTCTACAGAGTGAGTTCCAGGACAGCCAGGGCTACATAGAGAAACCCTGTCTCGAAAAACCGAAAAACAAAACAAAATTACCAATATTAATGCGGCCGGGAGTTATGATTAGAACACAAAAGCATTCGGGATGATAGTGAGTGACAACATGGTGGTGATAGCTAGTGTTAGGACAGCAGCATGGCTGATGGAAGCCAAGGAACGCTACGAAGTCACATGATGCAACAGATCTAACCGAAGAGGTTTATTGGGGCAGGGGAAAAGGGAAAGCACGAGATCTGTGTTACTTCAAAGCCTCTGAGTAAAACTGACATTTCAAGGCTACTTTTATGTATGTCTTCTCTTGTTTTTCCTTCCGATAGAATCTCACTTTAATTGAGACAATCCTCTCCCCTCAGCCTTCTGAGTACTATTACAGATGCAAGCTCCCACATCGAGCTACCCATGTTCTTTTTATCTTGTTTGTGTCCATAGTCCCTAGAGGGAGCCCTTAGAAGACATGCTCCAGGATGGGCAGGCCTGACCTTTAGTTTTGACCCTCCCTCCTTAACCTACTCCAACCCAACACATCTAGAAGCTTATTTGGTTTGTTCTGTATAATTGAGACAGGCTGACTCCATGACAGGCTTCAAATTGGCAGTTCAGGAGACTAGTCCTAAATCTCTGTTTCCAAGAACTGGACAAGTCCAGGCCTCAGAAGATAACCCGCCACCTCGCCTGAGGCAAGGACAATGAGTCAGCAGCACTTTCCAGACTTCAACAACAGTTTCCAGATTTCCCTTTCCAGCCCCCCAGCCTCCAGCCCCCCAAAATGGTTCAGGATGTCCCCAGAGATCGAGTGAACAGATTTAGATAGAGGTCACCTATCCCTTCCCAGAATTCCCCTCGTGTGCTTTAAATCAGGCCTGTAAGCTTACTTTGTGGGCTCCATCTTTGTAGATGGTCCAGCATACCGTACTTCAGCAGAATAAAACACTCTTTGTGTTTACAAACTATTTGAGTCCAGGGTATTCTTTAGTAAATCATGGAGTCTTAAGTAATACATTATGAAGTGGAAACTTGAGGGTTCTTTGGAAAATCAGTTGTATGGGATGGTGTTTTGCTGGGGCAAACACATGAAGGGGTATTTTTCTGATGAAGACACAGGAAAGGATGTCCTGCTAAAGCAGACACATGAAAGGACACATGATGAAGGAATCTTCGATAACAACACACCTGTATTGGTCCTCCATACATAGTGTAGTTGAGCTCCATAGAAAGACACGCCACCAAAACACTTGTGGTGTGCTGTGGCTTCTGCTGCTTCCTGAGACTCTGGCTGATTGGTAGAGTGATATCAGCTGAGACAGACGACTCACACGCTAAGACAAGTCCTGTGGAGGACACGTGATGTTTGGAGCGAGTATAAATAGGACTCAGTGGATTGTGGGAGGGTTTGCGTGTAGATCGAGCTCTGCAACACATCCTGATCTCACGTCTTTGCTGACCTTCATTGAGAGAGGCACCGCAAAGAACTTCTGGTGTTCCTGTTGTCCCTGGTCCCTCCTGCTGACTTGTGTCGATTTAGCTGAGGCCTGGCTGTCTCAGCTAGGTTGTGCCATCTCTGCTGATTGTGTTTGCTATTCTACCAAACTGGACTGCTGTATATTCATGAAGTATTTGTAAGTGATCGAGCTGCCACTGCTGACCTGTGAACTGAACTGCTGATTTCCTGACAACACAGATGGGATTTGCTCCGAAGAACAATTTCTAAACAGGTCCACTTCCCCTGTATCCTTTCTTTTCCACTACCTCTGGTGGATGGCGGGCTAGAAGGGAGGTTAAAGCATTTAAGAACCATCATTAAAAGTAATGATTGGAAAAATTAAAGCTACAGTATTATGAAAGGACTAGCTTGGGAGGGGAGACAGATCTTAGTTGAGAATTACTACCTCACTCTGAGGATGGAGCTTTTGCCTAGCATGCTCAGGGTTCTAGGTTCAATCCCTAGTGCTGGATGAGGAGGAGAAGAAAAAGAAGAGAAAGAGGAGGAGCAAGTGAGAGGTCTCAAAAGGGTAAAGGAGGTACTTGCCACCAAGCTTGGCAATGTGAGTTCAAACCACAGGGTTCTCATAGTGAAGGAGAGAACTGAAACCTACTAGTTGTCTTTAAGGTCATCCTTGGTTATGTACTAAATTGAGGCAAACCTGAATTAAGTAATGAGACCTAATCTCAAAACAACAGCAATAACAACAAACAAAACTAGGGGGAAAAAAGGTAAGAATTCCAGTACTATATTTATTAAATTGTGAGCCTGGGCCTCATTTCTAGTCTATAAGTACAAATCTACTTCCTCCTGTCGATGTAATTTAAAAAAAAATCTGTGCATGCCTTGTACTTAGCATGGTGCCTGGTTCAAAATAATGACTGTTGCAGAAATGTTTCTTGCCATGCCTGGAATAACATAAGAGCCTTGTTCCACCAAACTGATTTCTGTGTCTCTTCTGCTGGTGAGAGGGTCAAGAAGAAGGGGCTGTAGTATAGCTCAGTGGAGAGCGTTTGTCTGGCATGTGCAAGGCCTCGGGATGGATGCCCAACACTATGAGAAAATAAAATAAAAATAGAACAGTGTTCAGTGGAGATGCTACAGATCATTAAAGTCAAGGAGTGGCCACAAGTACTGCTTTTCCCTTAGTTGTATTTATGGAGTTAAACTGCAGTGGAACTACTTCTACTGAGCAGTAGAGGGCAGTAGAGGGATGGTAAACAAAGGAGCCACCAGGACTTGCACAAAGTCTCATCTCAATGTGCTTTCTTTGTTGGTTTGTTTTTGAGACAGGGTTTCATTGTGTAGGCCTTACTGGCCTAGAATTCACTGACTGTAGACCAAGCTGGCCCGGAATGCACAGAGAATCTGCCTGCCTCTACCTCTCCAGTGCTGGGATCAAAAGCATGCACCGCCACACCGGGCTACAAGTGTTTAAAAAATAAATCTAAGATCTTAAAGGGAAAAAAAACACAAGAACAAAAACAAACCACCAATAAGCTGCTGCTTTGTTTTATGAAGTTCTTTCTTTATCTCTGTAGTCATTTTGTTTCCTCTGTTCTCAGGTGCTGAGATGAAACCCAGAGCCTGACATTCTAGGCATGTGCCCTCCTACTGGGATATACCCAGATCCTGTAGTCTTACAAATAAATATGCATACTTTGTAAATGTCTCAATCGCTCAAAGAACACATTGATCTGTGTTTATCATAAATTAATCTCTTGCTTTTCACACAATAACCCTTGTCTATAAGTTAGCAGGCATGCTTCCAACTGTAGGTAAACTCAGATCACAGAAGTGATTTTCCATAAAACACTGTGAAGGAGCTTTTCTAGTCCTGTAGTTGACAACTGGCATCCGAGATGCTGGAGGGAAGAGTTCAGGAGCATTGCAGAGCTCACTCACCAACTCCAGACTTAGATTCAATTAATAATGACTAGGGCTTAAAGGTTGCAATATTAAAAATCAGGTTTCAGTCAAAGCATGCAACTCTCAGAACAGGAAAAGCATTGGTTAATACATATGATAAGCTCTTAGTCTTTTATTTATTTTTATAAAGTTATTTATTTACCTTAGGTATGAATACACTTCAGACATATCAGAAGAAGGCATCCGATCCCACTACAGATGGTTGTGAGCCACCATGTGGTTGCTGGGAATTGAACTCAGGAGCTCTGGAAGAGCAGTCAGTGCTCTTAACCGCTGAGCCATCTCTCCAGCTCCCAAGTTCTTATTCTTAATGATGAAAGAACAGCCAATTAAAACAGTGTGGGCCTACAAGATGGCTCAGCGGGTAGTGGCACATGCTGTACAAGTCTGGCGATCTGAGTTTGATCCTCATAACCCAAATAAAAGTGGAAGGGAAGAATCAGCTCCATGCTGGACAACGGTGGCAAATGCTTTTAATTCCAACACTCAGGAGGTAGAGGCAGGCAGCTATTGAGTTCAAGGCCATGGTGGTCTACAGAGAGAGTTCCAGGATAGCTAGGGCTACACAGAGAAAATTTGTCTCCAGGAAGTCAACCAAACAAAAAAACAGAATTAACGTCACAAAATTGTCCTCTGGCTTCCATGTCTTTACTAAGACACACACCTGTCTATATATAATACTCATAACACATATAATAATATTAAGAAAAATAGCCAGTGAAATAATTTCATTTATTAGGTTAAGAAAGATTGTCATCAAGCCAGGCAGTGCACGCCTTTAATCAAAGCACTTGGGAGGCAGAGGCAGGCAGATTTCTGAGTTAGAGGCCAGCCTGGTCTACAGAGTGAGTTCCAGGACAGCCAGGGCTACACAGAGAAACCCTGTCTCAAAAAAACAAAAAAAAAAA